AAGTTGACACACAACCTTAACTATCACATTGTCTTTTCTCTCAGTCACACAATTTTCATTTGGCTTAGTGATGTCTGGAAAAACAGACATGAATCAAGAGACAACACAAGATTTATTAAAGATCATAATGCTATCATTTATTAGAGGAAAAAAATGAGAATTGTAATATTTAGGAGGATAAGCAGCTTATCTACCAGCAAGGTTCTTTTCCTTGAAATAAGTTAGTAAAAAGGAAATCATATTTATTGTATGAAATAGATTCTCAAGATAGGGAAAGTAGCACACAAGAATACATTTTTGGATATAAAAAATTCAGTTATACAATCAGCAACATTCAAAATCAGTTATGTGTCCATACAATTACAAAAATTGATTCATGTTTTAACAGTGTTTTAAAACCTCATCATATTACAACAGGCACAATGTTCTGAAGGCATATAAACTCCCACGGGCCTCTCAATGTTCTCACCTCCAACTTCAAAACTGAATCTACAAAAGCAGCAAAAGATCAGAGTTCAGAGATTGGTTTTTGACTTTTTCCTTTCCTTGCTCAAGGAGCTCTGATGGCACTGTGGTTAAAGTGTTGGGCCAAAGGTTGGTGACGGTTCGAACCCACCAGCAGCTCCGTGGGAGGAAAACAAGGAAACGAGGCACTATGCCTATGGAAAGATTTACAGCCTTGGAAACCCTATGGCACAGTTCTACTCCCTCCTATAGGGTCACCATGAGTTGGAATCAACTTGATGGCAGTGTGTTTGGTTTGGTTTTGTTCAAGGTTGCCATGTCAAGAGAACATTGAAAAAGGCAAAATAAACACTTTTCATAATAAAAAGACCACAAAATTGAATGTAAACAATGGTTCTCCTTTAGGAGATTACACAAATACAAGGCTCATTTGTACTTTGAATAAGACTCATTACCTCTTCTTGTTGCACAGAAATTAAACAGGCAGAGAGCAAACAGCCTCAATTTCATCTTTATGGATGATTCCTAAGGATGTTAAGTCCAGACAGTCCATTCTTATCAGGGAACTTCTGTCCATGATATTTTTTGGGTAGGGGACCCCGGGGGGATGATTATTAAATGTAGTGACGTTACTTTGCTGTGAATATATACATTGTTAACTGCTTATTACACTGTTATGATGAGAGCTTTCATTTTAAACAGCCACGTTTTCTCCTGGCCACTGGAGTTGCTCATCCCTGATTCCTGATCCATCTCTCTATAAAAAAAATCATTTTCCCCATTTCTAAGCCCATTATCACTTTATCAGCTCAGCAAGAAGAAAAATGTGTAAGTTTATATTGTCAGTTTACATTAACAAAGGCATGGCTCCTGCCCGTGAGCCTCACTGGGCTATACTCACAAGAACCAGAGGAAAGCCTCTGCCATGGCATCCTAGGCCCTACAGAAACGTGGTAAACCAGTGGCAAACTGTATTAGGGACTCTTGTCACCCATGCACCTGGGGCAGAATTGGGAATAACCAAAAATGGAACTCAATACTCTCTCTCTTGAAGGCACTGGGGTCAGGGAACCAGCACGGCAGTTTTGTCTTCACTCAACTAAAAAGTCTCAAGATCTTACAATTTCATGAAATTACATGTTATCAGAATTAGAAAGCATTTTCAAGTCTCATAAATTGACTCCCCAACCAACTATTTTTTAATAGGAATTTCAAGAAGATTTAAGACTTCTAACTGTTTTGTCTTTTATATCAAGAGTTACACAGACATAAATCTGTATTTAACTTCAGTTGAAGGTCTATCAGCTTTTTAAAGAAAAGGCTATCTGCAAAGAAACTACTATACATCTAAAAATATAACCAAAAAAAAAAAGATAGCAAAAATCTGGTAAAATTGTTTCATGGATCTTAAACGCTGATTTTTTCATTTACAGAAAATGAAGTTTTGTGATTAGCTGAAGATTTAAAAGTATTTGCAAGCCTCAAGCTCAACTCTAGTCTGAAGTTGTCTGAGGAAAGAGAAGAAAAGCCTGGTGCAGACTGTCCCACAGGTAAGTCCACAGCCACAGGGCTATGGTTCAATTTCCTAATTCACTCCACTAAGTCTCATCATTTATGCTACAACATCCATCTCTCTCTCATAGGACTATTAAAAGGAGAAGTCAAACCAGCAGCCCACCCTACCATCACTTCTACACTCTTGTTATAAACGTGTGGCCCACTTCTTCATTATCTATTCTATTGGAAGTACCCAGAAGTAAGTTTATTTAATCTGCACTTCATGATTTAATTGCTTATTCCCTGAGCACACACTGATTAGGAGCAGAAGGGAGATGGCACTCAGGCCATTCTTCCTCTCACAGTCCCTACACAGACAAAAACAAGTAGGGAAACAAGGGTATGGCAGCAGAAGGAAAAACCTAGGAGTTGACATGCAGGATCACTCAAAAGCTGCCCAATGTCCTGACTACAGCTATCTGAGCAAAGTAGCCCAAGACCACAAAACTCAAGGCAAAGCAGATGTCTTCATTTAAGACAGATCGCCTGCCAGGAACCCCTCCCCACTGCCCTCTGCTGGTGACATTGGTACAGGCTCAACTTCTCTGAGCCTGTTTACTTCTCTATTATAATGGAGATAAGACCATTAGTATAGCAGTCATTGTGAATAATAAGTGGAATAAATGCATACAGCAGTCTTTGTGAATATTATGTGGAATAAATACATGGCAGTGTCTACAGTGCTGTACCCATAGCCTGCACTAGATAAATATCTGTTAAATAAATGAATGGTCAGAGATGTTCATTCTGTTATTTCTGTTAGGCACCATGCTAAGCACTTAACATAGCTCAGTGATGCCCTCAATGATCCAATAGGAATTGTTATCCCCATTTTTTTAAAAAACAGATGAAAAAACTGAAGAACCAGAGGTTAAGTAACTTCATCAACATGACACAACTACTAAGTGACTGAACTACAACTGAACCTAGGTTTGCTTGACTTCAACCTAACATTCACTACCACTATGTTATATATCTTCAAAGGTACCTCAACCTCATGTCCAATAAAGTCCAGCCAATAAGAAGGTCATCAAGGGCTTGCCTTCTGGGTGAACTACTACAGGCTGGTTGGAGCTCCTAAAGAGCAGCCTCACCTCACGCCGGCTCTACAGAGGAGCCACGAGCACTCCTAACCTCCTTCACAGACTTCCTCATATCAGAGCTCTTCTAAGAATAAACTGCCTCCTGGAGGTTCCGCAAAGGCCAGAGGGTGGCATATAACCTCCCTTCCTGCCTACCGGCAGGTTTGGAACCTCAAGCTAGAAAGGACCTGGGAAGACTGGCTTTTGCCTCTGGAGTCCATCAGGCCTGATCATACCCCTCCCCGCCCCCCCCCGCCCCCCCCAGTTCAGAAGAAAAGGCTAGCTAACCTGAGGTCTCAGCTGCAGCAAAAAGAAGAAAGGACTAGGAGTACGGAAGTTCAGCAATTAGCCACAAGCAAGGAGACAACCCTTGCTTTGAGGGTGCCTAGAGCAGAAGCCTAAGTGAGAACTCGAAGACCAGCTGGACTTGGCTGAAGGCTAAGAAGGCACACTCAGGTAGACTTCATATGGTGGGGACTCTGGAGATCCTGGGACGTCAAGAACTTGGCTAATCAAGATAGGGCACTTTTAATGGCCAGGCAACAAGGAGCTGAAAGGAAACACAAGGGCCCATTGAACATCTTACAGGCCAAGGAGAAAGCTCTCAAAGAGGGAGAGGGGTGGAGGGTAGTTCTTAAAGAGATTAGGCCCAGACCACAAATGGCACAGGCTTGGCTAATGAAACCAGGTAAAATAGTTATAGGAGATATCATCAGAGACATGCCAGCCAACACTCGCTCATGATGGAGGCACCCAGGCTCTGGACTTGGCTCTGCTACTGACTGGGGCTCTGAATAAATCTAGTAATCTCTGTGGGCCTCAACTTCCTTGTCTGCACAGCGGGATAGGAACCTTTGCTTTGTAGAAGGATCAGATATGGTCACAGATACAAAAGCACCCTGTACGCGCTGAAGCATCAGACCAAGCGGTCACCGTCCTTCAGTCTGTGATGCTCTCCTCCAGGCTTTCCAGCACTGGCTGAAGTGCAAACGCTGGGACTGTTTAAAGGTCACCGGGCAGGCGTGCCTACTTCCTTCTGGAACTCCACTGGTCCCACTCCAAGGGAGAACGGAAAATAAAATCAGTTTAAAAGCAAACATTTATAAATAATGAAAGGGGGTGGAAGGAAAGAGCAGCAAGATTTTTCATTTCCTATCAGCTTTTGTCCAAAAGGAAGCAGTAGTGTTTTCTGCTGCTGTTTTTTTCTCTTTCAACCTAGTTCTGGAGGGTCATGGGTAAAGAAGCGGGGTGGGCAACCCAAGAAAAAAAGAATGTGCATTGAATGTTACAAAATACACTCCAAAGTCAGGTGTGGAATCAGAACACCAAGAGTGCTTAGTTTCAGATTAACAAACAACACATAATTACCAAAAAGTGCTCATTTTCTACTTCCCTCCACAGCCAGGCTCTCCGCAGGCTTGTGTACAGCTGTCAGTAGGGTAGAATTGCTGTTCCCAGACATCAGAGTAGAAGCAAGTCCTTGCTGTGTTGGGCAGTGATGATGGTTTCCAGGCTGAGGGACAAGCCTGCAAAGTCCCTGTTGGCCCCTCTCATGGCTGAAAACTCTGTCCCTTACTTTTGCATTCCTGCAGTCTCCAGTGGGGCTGCCTTCTGACACCTGGGAATCACTAGCCCCTAAAGCTTATCTGCTGCTGCTTGCCAAGGCTTTTCTTTATGGGGATTCAGGGAAATACCATCCAAAGAGGAAAGATGCATGAGGAAGATGCCCCTCCATAATACAGAACCACCCCATATTGCACTACAGACATCAAGGTTCAGGAACATATCATCAATCCTAAAAAAACAACTCTCAAATGTTCAAATCACAAGCAACGTACTGTTGCAAGCTAAAAGGCACATGTCTGTAAGACAGAGGTTTAGAAAATATATACAAAACTGTCCACCAGCATCCATCCATAGTGCTTTCCAAAGCTTTGCAAAACTGGCTGGGTGTTATGCAAGACACGTAGTGAAACACTTCTTCACAGCATCCCTAGGAAAGAAAAACACACAGATGAATGAGAGGTCATAACTCCAAAGGCTTCAGTAAGTGGTAAAAATCCTCATTTAGAGTTTCCTGGGTACCCAGAGGAGCATGTTGCTGAGCGGAAAGAGTTTCCACCGTGGGATCAGACTCATTTGGCATGAAATCTCAGCTTCAACATTTATTAGTAGTGTTACCCTGAGTAAATTACATATCCTGCTTTGAGTTTCAAATTCCTCGTTTGTAAAAGGAGATGCCATCACCTACCCTCCTGGAATTAAGATACAATGCATGGCAGAGAAAAGATTAATAAATGGCAGCTGTCATTATAATCAGAGTCCCTGGATGGTGCAAAAGGTTAACACACTTGACTGCTGGAGGTTTGTCTACCCAGAAGCACCTCGAAAGAAAGGCCTGACAACCTACGTGTGAAAAACAGCCAAAAACCCTGTGGGGCACAGTTCTACTCTGACACACAAGGTTGCCATGAGTCAGAGTTGACTCAACAGCAACTGGTTGGTTCTGGTTATCATTATAATCAGAAGGAAAAAATAGGAAGAATATATAGATTGTGAGAAACTGTGAAAGAAGTCAGGACTCATGTCCTTTAATATCAACCATAATCACAGAATGCACTGAAAGCATTAAGTCAAACAGTCACTAGGTCATTCTGAACAAACAGCAGAAAGTTTTTAAGGGACATTTTCCAGGAGCTCCTTAGCATAGGAGAGCTAGCTATAGGTACTGAGCACATACTGATAAGCTATATTAGCCTGATCACAGGTATTTACTTTGTGAAATTCAGAGTACAGAGATAATGCAAGGAAAGCAGATTGTCAACAAACTCTGTTCCGTTCAAGCAAGTGCAATCTCCACCATTACTTCTTCCTGTGCAATGTGGCATTAGGGCTCCCCATTCCCCAGTTCTATTCCTTCTGTGTTCTCAGCTACGTTTCCACTAGGGACACTGCGAGTCAGAGGAGGGAGGGAGAGGTGAGCGCAAGCATTCCCATGAGCAGGGACTGCATTTAAACATCAAGGTAATTCTAGAATAGCATCTCCTGAAATGTTCTGCATTGCAGTCCCAGGAAAAGCTGTGCACAAGAGGGCTAAATATGTTTCCCTCATAACAGTTCACAATGCAAGTAACGTATTAAAGGATCTGGAAAGACTGGCACCAAGGAACCTACCTAATTTTGCTTAACCTGGTTCTCAAACATGTTTGATCATGGAACCCTTTCTTCTACATGAATACCTATCAGTATCTCTGGGAATTCTATTTTCTGTGGAACACTGTGAGAGGGGAAGTGCCACACAGAAGGGTGGGGCCTCGCCTTGTGATTGCCTCCCTACTATAGGAAATATTCATCTGCTCAACACACAAAACACACTACTTCAAAGAAAAGTCCATCATTCTATCCCTCACTTGTATCTAAAACCTAAAATGCCATTCCAGATCAAGCCCAAACCCCAAAGAACAACATCTGGAAAGACCAGCTCCATGAGTGAGAGACCTGTGTAACTATGCTCAGAAGGGGCCCGCACTTGGTTTAGTTGTTCTATTGTCACCATCTCAATATTCTTAACTATTCTAAATAAACCAAAAAAAAAAAAAAAAAACCAATCCCACTGAATAAGAGGCCCCACATTCTCATTTTGCACTGGGTCCTGCAAATTATATAGCTGGTCCTGGCACCAAGACATATTCAAAATGTTAACAGGTTGATAAACTTCCCATTGGATGCTCAGGGACAATGAGCACTGGCTCACTGCACATAAAAACCTAGTTTCCCAGGCCATCCCTACCCATACCATTCTTGAACAGACAAGTCAATACCATCCAAAACTGGCTGGGTCTGCAAGAAGTATTTCTTAACTGTTATCCTCTTAGAACATACCCACCAAGCCACCCAGCTGCCCTTAACTTGATGGGCCTGTTAAGGTCTCATCTAATCACTCCTCTACATCTTCAAATCACTGTCAGCAGCAGACTTGGAACACACAGCACCTCCTCCTACACAATCTTTACTTTCCTCAACACAGTTAAAGAAAAGCTTACTTTTAGTTAACAGGTAACAGCAGCTCTGGTAGCACAGGGGTTAAATGCTCAGCTGCTAATCCAAAGGTTGGCAGCTTGAACCCATGCAAAAGCTCCATGGGAGAAAGACCTCATGATCTGCTCCCATAAAGACTAGAAAACACTTCGGGGCATTCTACTCTGTCACTTGGGGTCACTGTGACTCAGAACTGATATGACTGGCACCTAACAACAATAGAAAAGAATGGAAACCAATGGTTACATGAGAACAGAGTGGGAGGGAAAGACCAGATGCTAGCTTTAAGAGGCCTATAATTTAGAATGCTTATCTAAGGTGATTCAGAGGCTCAGAACTTTAAAGCCGTTTGTTCTTCTGATCCATATTGGAATGTCCACATGGTCTACTCTTTGGAGCCAATGTTCTACTTTATTCAAGTTATGAACATATTCTCATGCTAACTAAACTATAGGATCTCAGAATGTAATTTTTAGATCCTTCTCTGGATACTTAATTTTTAGCTATTCTTTTCTAATATGTGCATTTTAAGCCTCTGAATTTCCCTGTAAACATAATGGCTAGCCATCTAGTGCTGCTGTAACAGAAACATCACAAATGGGTGGCTTTAACAAAAAGGAATTTATTTTCTCACAGTTTAGGAGGCTCATGCTGGTTCTAGGGAAGGGCCTGCTCGCTCGCTCTCTGTTGGCTCTTTGACCTTTTCTACTCCTGGGCAATCTTCACGTGCACTGGCACCTCTCTTCCCCCAGTGGCTCTGCTTCTCTGGCTTTACTTGTTTAATCTTTTTTATATCTCAAAAGAGGCTGATTTAAGGCACACTAATCCTGCCTCATTAACATAACAAAAATAATCCATTCTCAAATGGGATTATAAACACAGGCACAGAAGTTAGGATCTACAACCTATGTTTTGGGGGACAGAATTCAATCTATAACATATGGCTTTAGCTGCATCTCACAAGTTTTAATATACCATTTTGTTTTGTCTTTTAAATGTTATTTATTTTGTTGTTGAGATTATACACAGCAAATCATACACCAATTCAACAATTTCTACAGGTGCAATTAGTGACACTGATTATATTCCTCAAGTTGTGCAATCATTCTCACCCTCCTTTTCTGAGTTATTCTTCCCTTAACATAAATATACTGTCCTCTAAGGTTCCTATCTAATCTTTTGAATTGCTATTGTCAAGCTGATCTTATATACATACTACTTAAATCAGCATAATGCTTAAGGCAGACATTTTGTAATAGCTAAACTACTGTTCAGTTTTAAGATGACTTCAGGGGATATCTTTGGTTTAAGGTTTAGAGGTTATCTCACGACAAATAGTTTCGGGGGTTCCTCTACCCTCCATGGCTCCAGAAAGTCTAGGGGCCATGAAAATTTTTAATTCTGTCCTGCATTTCCCCCTTTTCATCAGAATTCTTCAAAGGAACTCTTGTTCAAAATGTTCAGTAATGGTTGCCAGGCACCATCCAGTTCTTCTGGTCTCAGGGCAAAGGAGGCAGGTATTCATGGAGCCAATTAGCCTAGTCACACATTCCATACCCTCCTACTCCTGACCTTCCTTTGTTGCTCCAAGTGTATAGAGACCGATTGTTGTGCCTTGGATGGCCACTACAAGCTATCAAGACTTCAGCAATGTGCCTCATTTTAATAAACACTTGCTTTTAAATTAAAAAAAACTACTCAAAGCTATAGACTAAAAAAGTGACAATGTATACATATGTACTATATACTAATGTAGAAATTTTCACTGGATTGGATATTGGTGGGCCTAAGCCAATTCCTTGCCCCATCATTAGTTGCATAATTTTTGGGGAGATGAGTTGAGAGAGGGGAGTGAGTTGGGGAGTACTGAGCATTAGTTTACTAATCTATAAAACAGATACACAGCATTTGCCTATACATCTAAAAGGATTTGAATAAAAATAACATGTGAAAGCACTCTCTGAACTAAAAAGCACTCTCATAACTAAAAGTTATGCAAACATAACATCACCCACAAATGACAGAAGGTATATTTCTAAATACAGTCTTACCTTGCAAATGGTATGAAGGAAAGGCTATACCTAAAGTGAAAAAAACAAAAGATCAGAACAATGAAAGGAATGGAAAATTATACCTAATCCTCACCAATGACCTCATCATCTGACCTTTCACATTTACAACAGTAGTAAAAAATCCCATTATTTCATGCATTAACATCTGTTAATAATAATAAGTGTATATCTGGCAGTAATGAATACTGAGGTACAAGGTGAAGAGTAATGCTGTCTGTGATGGTTAAGGTAATGCATCAACTTGGCTGGGCCATGAGTGTCAATGGTTTCAGAGTTTTGTAATGAGGTGATTTAGCAGTTATATAATGTAATTTGGCAGTTATGCAATAATGTAGTCATCCTCCATTTCGTGATCAGATGTAGTCCAACATTTACGTAACCCCAATTTTCACATAATGACCTGCTCTTTGGAACGTAACCATGTCAGTAAGTAAGGAGAAAGGTGTGCTCAGTGGAATGGGCTTCCGAGCTGGAAGAGCATCTGTTGTGATTTACTGTCCAGATCCTCTTCCCTTCTTAGGGCAGTTGACATGTAGACACATACACATGTGTACATGTGCATACACACTGTACAAGGTATACGGCCTGGGAGGGGAGAGGAGTGTCATCTGTAACCACAAAATATGAAAAGTGTCCCATGTGGAGATAGCTTCTGTGACCTTAGTCTCACTGAGGTAATGCTTTAACCAAATGAGCCAGCAATCACCTAAACAGGCAGTTTCCAGCTATCCAGATGGCATCGGAACCCTGCTCTGAAAGAATACCAAACAAACTCCATATGAAATATCTGTAACGGATAGAAGATCAGCAGGAAAAGAGTAAACACATGGAAACTGAACAACACCCTCCTTGAGAAAGACTGGGTAAGAGAAGAAATCAAACTGAAATTCAAAAATTCCTTAAATCAAACAAGAATGAAACACAACATACCGATACCTTTGGGACACAGTAAAAGCAGTGATCGGAGGCCAATTTATAGCAATAAGTGCACACATCAAAAAAAGAACAAAGAGCCAAAATCAACACTTTAAACGAACATCTCCAACAATTAGAGAAAGAACAGCAAGAAAAGCCCACAGTCA